ATCAAAAAAGTACTCCAGAGTGTTGTTCAGCATGGGGGTGAGTAGAAAATGAAGGCTAATCATGTTTTGGGTGTACTATTCCTTTAAGAACTGTCCCTGCTGATGATGGAATGCCGAACACCTGCGAGCGCCGTCACCAGCCATCACCTGTGGAGAAAGGAGAGGAAAAATGCAGGGCCCAGCCCAGACATGTCCGCAGCACCCTAATACTCAGAGTTGAAATATCAAGGTATAAAACTCTACTGAGTGGTCCAGACTATTTAAACCAGACATAACCCCGATTTGCCAGCACAAAACATGGAATCTTTTTTGATCTTTCCTCTTAAAAGAATGAAGTATTGATAGGAACATGAATCAAAACAAGGAATTGGAACAAAGCGATCAATTTCATGCACAATCATAATTATTATACACAATGGCCTGAAAAATTACTCTGCTACAGAAAATGATTATTCTATTATAGAAAATTATTCTATTTTATACTTGAGGTTTTACATATAGGTCTTGATACTCAGTTATGATTATTTGCTGAGGTCCTTTTCTTGAAGGTTGTTCAAACTACAAGTTAATTGTGGCCACCATCAGACTCCAGTATCAACGTTTCACAACCCCAGAGTGACCCACATCTACAAAAACTCAGTGTATGTCACACAGCAGCACTGAAGTCATAACATCAGTCTTAATAACTCTGTGTTATTATAAGTTGTCGAACGAGAAGATCTGAAGAAGAATCAGGGTAACAAGATTAACAAGGGCAAGAAAATATAAAGCTGAAATGTTTGCAATGTTTTTGGGGAGACTAATGGACTGAAGAGGAATTGGCTTGAAAGAGTAGTCAGAGCCTAAATGATAACTGGAAGGTTAGTCGAAGTGCAACATGATCTTTCAAACAGCAGATGCTAAAGAAATAATGGATTCGTATTTAATTTAATACCACATATGGAAGTGAAACAATTTGGATTTTTTTGAAGATGAAAAAATCAGAGTTGGGCCTTTCTGACTGCCATGAAAAAGGCAGATATGAGTCACATATAGGCAAAAAAAAATCTGATTTGGTTTGCATTTGACTGCAGTTCGAATGCCGCAGTAAAATGTGAGGATAAGTTTGTGGATAGAACAAAACTGTCTTTTCCAGTCAACTACAGATTTTTCAGAACATGTCCTACTGTGCCCTCTTTCATTCTTGTTAGCTCCCTTTGATAAGAATTTGTTGATCGAAATAGCAAAGAACCGATCATGCTCTTTAGATAAAACTAGGGCCAACATGCACACACTGTAGAATAAACATATTGTTTTAATTATAACATTCATATAGTCCAGGGTGGATTCTCCAGTCGTGGGAGAATCTTTCAATCGGGCCAACTTTCAGCCTGTCATAATGGGTTTAAGCGATCTGACCTACATGCAGAGAACCACTGAGAGACCAAGGGAAAAAGATTTAGATTCAGGTTTATTGAATGTTGATGAAAGACAGAAGTAGGAGCTGGAACTCAGTGGACTGGTGAATCGGAACCGGAAAGTCTGAAGGAGAGGTCACAGTGATCAGTTCAGGGACCGTAGGAAAATTGATGAGGCTTGAATATAGCTGGAGAGAAACTCACGTTTCAGGGGGCTCTTGTAAATCCTTGAATCCAGTTTGTGGGGAATAAATGCAGAGGAGAGGGAACTCAATGGAGAGCGGACAGGTAGACTTACGTTGGACCCAGAGGAGTAAAGGAGCGAACTGTCACTTGGTTTTCCAATGGGAACTTGAACAGATCATGTGGAGGTTTACCCCTGCTCAGTGTGTACTCAGTAATCCTTCCAGAGGGAGAAGGTCCAGGTTATCCAGTTACACAGGAAAGGCTTCCTGCCGAAGAGCAAAGACAAAAATAAGATTAGACTCAGAGAAACAAAGCTTCAGTTAGACTCTGCTAATCTCTACTTGACTAGCGTACCCAAAACTGGCAAACACTCTGGCGTTGAGGTAGTGACTGCCCGCTGCTCAAATACTCCTCCGGTAATGATCCAACGAGCCGCAGGTGTGCAGGGAGGCCCAACAAGGAACAGGGCAACACCTGGTGGTGGAGAGAGGAAAACACAAAAACAACCCACACAAACTGGATTCCTAACATAGCCTGATCGTGCGTAGTGAGCTGTGTAGTGTACAGTGGGTTACGAGGGGCAATCAGCCTCTCATGACGACCTTCCAATCAGGAATCTTGAGGTCGTGAACGTCTGGGCAAATTGCGCAGGGTGCATGCGCAAAGAAGGATTCTTCTTTTTATTCTTCCTTTCAGATGTAACCACAGCAGCGTGGCAGGGATGGAATGAGTGAAA